TGAAATTATATGGTATTTATCTTTCTCTATCTGACTTATTTCACTCAGCATAATAACCTCTAGGTCCATCCATGTCATTGCAAATGGTAGGATTTCATTTTTTTAATGGCTGAGTAATATTCCATTGTATATATGAACCATTACTTCTTTATCCAATCACCTGTTGATGGACATTTAGGTTGCATTCGTATCTCTTTTATAGTTTCCATTTCTCTATTGAGATTCTCTATTCTTTATTAAGTTCGTGTTTTCCTTGAAACCCTTGAACATATTTATATAACTATTTTCAAGTCATTTTCAAGTCTTTGTTGGCCAATTCCATTATCTCTGTCCATTTCGAGCTAAGAAGCTAATTTTTTTAACTGGTTATGACCACATTTTCTGCTTATTTTTTTGTCTAGTAATTTTTTATTATATGCTGGACATTATGAATGTTATGTCCATTGATTGTGTTTTGCTGTCTTCCCTAATGGAATATTGAGTTTTGTTCCAACAGACACTTGATTTACTTGGGGATCAGCTTGATCTTTTCCAGGCTTAGCTGGGATGGGCTTAACCTAGCCCTAACTGTAGGGCTAGATTAGTTTTACTGATAAGCATGGCTTTTCTAGAATTCCTACTGAATGCTCGGTGTTCAGTGAGATCTCTCACTGTGGCTGTTTGGAATTCGCAGATCTCCCCACTCAGCCCTGTGTAGTCTATGCTAGTTATTCAGCTCACAGTTCTCCAAGAGTCTTTTTTTCCCCCCTAAAACTTGTAATTTGTCCTGCCTCGTGGAGTCTTGCTCTGCACATGTGAAGTTTAAGACTCAGCCAAAGTCCAAATTTGGAGCTCCTTCTTTGCACAGCTTCCTTTTCTCTGCCATGCACATTCCTGAGGGAGGCTCAGTAGCCCTGAACTCTATAATCTGTGCCTCCACAGTCCAGAAAGTACCTCTAGGCAGAAAGCCAAGGCAGTTGTGGTGCTCATCCCATATGTTTCTTTTCTCTCGGGATCACAGTAACTTTCACAGATTTTATCCAGTTTTATAGCTATTTATACCAGTTACTCTGTCATGGTCAGTAGCAGAAATCCCAGTCTTTGTATGTTTACACTCCCATTTTTACACATTCCAAGAGCAGTACATAGTAATATTTTGTATGTGTTTTTAAATTTTTACTTTGTTTCCAAAGACTATCGATACACTAGAGCAATGTGAAAATAATAATGAAAGCGAGATATTTTGTGGCAAACTTTGGGGGGGGTGAGGTTTGGACTGTAATCCATGAATTATCTCGGGGTAAATGCTGCAGCCCCAAGCCGGCGAGTGTTCTTGGGGCGAATGGGAAGTGGTTTAAGTGATATTATATTGTTAATGCTCTTCCATATCTTCCTTTTATACTCAACATATTTTTTAAAGATTTGTCCACATTGCTGTATTCATTTAGTCACTTAAATATTTGAGTGTTTTGTGTGCAAGGCACTGGGTGGACAGTTGCACAAGATGGAAAAAGTCCTACTCTCATGGAGCTTAGAGGCTAGCTGGGGAGGCAGATAATAAACATATAAACAAGTACATATATAACGTCAGCAGCAATAAGTGCAATAAAGAAAAATGAAGCCAGGTAAGGGGAATGCAGTGTGACTGGGGGAGGGTGACCGGACAAGGTCTCAGAAGAGGTGATATTTGAGCAGAGGCCTGATCTGAGAGAAGGTGCAAGTAAGCCAGGAGGAAGAGAATTCCAACAGGCACTGGATTTACTTGGGGATCAGGAAGAGGAACTAGGGGTGCTGAAACATTTGAGGGTTTCAAGGAAGGACATGATGTTATCTATCGCATTTATGTTTCATAAGTTCTTTCTGCTTGCCGTATGGAGCGTGGATTCGGGGAGGAGGTGGGGAGGCTGCTGCAATAATCCAGGCAAGAGAGGGCAGGGGAGGAATAGTTTGAACCAGACAATAACAATGTAGACGGGAGTACTGGTCTTACTGGGAATGTAATTTAAAGGTAGAGCCAACAAAATTTACTGTTAGGCAGGTGTTTGAGAGTGAGAGAAAGGAGGATCAAGAATGATGCCAGAGTCACTGGCCTAAGGAAACAGACAAATGAAATGCCATAAACTGAAAAAGAGAAGGTTTGAGTGATGAATGAATAATCCTGCTTTGGACATGCTTAGGTGTAAGGTAGCTATTAGATAACTAAGGGTGATGTCCTATAAATCAGAGGTCCCCAACCCCTGAGCCGCGGACCGGTACCAGTCCATGGCCTGTTAGGAACCAGGCCACACAGCCGTAGGTGAAGGGTGGGCGAGCCAGCGAAGCTTCATCTGTGTTTGCAGCCGCTCCCCAACACTAGCATCACCACCTCAGCTCCACCTCAGATCATTAGGCGTTAGATTCTCATAGGAACACCGGTCCCTGGTGCCACAAAGGTTGGGGACTGCTGCTGTAAACAATTGGGTACCATATCTGGAGTTCAGGAGAGAGACTGGGATTTGGAATAGTATTTACATATCACGTTGCTGAATGAGACCCCCTAAGAACTTAGTACGGAAAAAAGAGGGAGTCGTAAGCCCAAGCCCTGAGAATGCCAATACTTAAATTCAAGGTCTTCGTCTTAAGACATCCAGCAAGCCAGACTGGCAAGAAGGAACCATTGAGGCAGGAGGAAAATCAGGAGAGTGTGGACTCCCAGAAGCCAATGAGAGAAATGTTTGAAGAAAGGAGCGATCTACTGTGTTCAGTGCTACAGAACGAGTACCAGTGTTGTCCTCCGTGATGCAAAGAGACACAGTTCCTTCTTTTTAACTGCTGTATAGTATTCCATCACATGAATAGAGATTCATCTCCCACTACTTAGGCGAACATTTACAGTGAACATTCTTGAACATGTCACTGATTCAAGCACACGTGGGCGAGTTTTTCTTTGGTGCCTATCCGGGGACAGAATCACTAATCACTACGAAAGATATGGACAACTTCATCTTAACAAAACAATACCATATTGCATTCCAAAAAAATAGTGGTGCCAGTGTGTGTTTGTATCTTCAGTGTTCAAGAGACCCCATTGCTTCACACCATCACCAATATTTGCCATTGCAGACTTTCACATTCTTGCCAATCTAAAGAGTGAAAGGTGTGTGGTTGTTACCTCCATTTGCATTTTCCTGAGGACTAGTGAAGTCGAGTGTCTTGGCCATTTGGGTTTCCTCTTAAGGGACCTGCCTATTAATATCCATTACCTAGTTTCCCATGGAGTTATCTTTTGGGGGTAAGATTTCTTTATATATTCTGGATACTAAATCTTTGTCTATTAGGTACATTGCAGATACTTATTCCCAATCTGCAGTGTGTCTTTGTAGGGTGTGTGTGTGTGTGTTTGTGTGTGTATGTGTGTATGATATAAAAGCTTTTAGTTTTGATGAGTTGAGTCTATATCTTTAGTGTTTTGTGTCTTATTTAAGCAATCTTTCCCTGTCTTGAGACCATAAAGAGACTTGCCTGTATTTTGTTCTAAGACTTGGAGAGTTTTATAAAAATACATTGATATCTGTTCATGTTAATGCATCTGAAATTTATTCTGTGTGTGGTGTGAGGGAGGAGTCTTTTATTTACTTTATTTATTTATTTTTTTAATTGAGAAAGATAGACGTCCTAACCTCTCCAGCCTTTGCCCACTGATCTGGACTGCCACCAACATGACATCCAGGTTCCCAGAGGAACCGGGGCCTGCTTTGGGCCCTCCTTTCCTATTCCATGGATCGTATTGCCTTTTCTTGTACCCATACCTGAAAGATTTCATTATTGAACTCCATAAAACAATTATTACCTGGGGAAAGTGGGGAGAATTATTTGTTTTTTTTTTTTGCTTTGAAGTCATCAGTCTTTAAACAACTGACCATGGGGTATCTAAAACAGTGCTGGCTGAACTTAGGAAAAATCTGTTTGCTGCTCACCTTTCAAGGACTGAGCTGTGATGTGAAGGGGGGCAGGCCTTCGCTTTTCTGTGAAACTGTGGGTACTTTTACTTTTGGCTTACCCCTCCCCACCGACTCTCACCTCCGGTTTTTCAGATGGCGATGCTTATGAACCATAGGTCCGCTCTTCTGGGCTTTACACGTGGGCCTGTGGTGGGTATTTTGTGACTGAGCTGCAGTACCAATTCCGTCAGTTACTGCCAACCAGACTACAGCGATAGGCCTGATGGGGTCTGGCGTTTCCTGTTGCCTCACCGGCACTAAGAACCTAGATTCCAAAAATAAAAGCACCAGAAACCACCGTGACCTCACAGTCTCTGTGCTCGCACGGTGCTCTGAGCACTGGGGCTGCTTCAACCCTGCAGCCCTCTCCAGCTGCGGCCCTGCTCCCTGCCAGAGAGACGTGGGGATCTGCATGGTCTGGATGGGCTCCGAGGGCCACCCTGCCTGAGTGCTCACTGTCCCCTTCCTTCAGGCAGTCACCCGCAGGGCCAAGGTGGCTCCCGCTGAGAGGATGAGCAAGTTCTTGAAGCACTTCACCGTCGTTGGGGACGACTACCATGCCTGGAACGTCAACTACGAGAAATGGGAGAACGAGGAAGAGGAGGAGGAGGAGGAGGAGCAGCCGCCAGCAACACCGGCCTCGGGCGAGGAGGGCAGAGCTGCCAACCCAACTGCGGCCCCCGTCTCCACGCCCAGGCGGCCCCTCGACTTCAGGAGCACGCTGAGGAAGCTCTTCAGCTCCCACAGGTTTCAGGTAGGTGGGCAGGGGCCCCGGGTGCCCGAGGTGGGGGCGGGCAGAGCCCTCAGCTGAAAGTCACGAGGCCAGGGTGGGGCGGCTCTCTGCCACCGCCTCATTCATTGTGCAGGTGTCCCCAGAGTACGACCATGTGCCAGGTACCCATACAGCAGCGGGTACACTGGGCGGGTCCCATGTCATCAGAGATTAAATAAATCATCATCGAAAAGTCAAAGGTCCATCAGCTGATAAAGGATAAGCAAAATGGGGTCTATCCATACTCAGCCCTAAACGGGAATGGAGCCCTGACACACGCCACAATGTGGATGAACCTTGAAAGCACTATGCTGAGTGAGAGAAGCAGTCACCAAAGATCATATGTTGCGTGATTCTGTTTGTATGTAACGTCCAAAATAGGTAAACCCTAGAGACAGAAAGCAGATTGGTGGTTATCACAAGCTGGAGGGAAGGAAGAAGGGGCAGTGACTGCTGATGGATACAGGGCCCCCATTTGGGATGAGAAAAATGTTCTGGAACCACATAGTGGTGAAAGTTAGTTACACAACCTTGAGAATATGTTTAATGTCACTGAACTTTACGCTCTTTCAAATGGTTGAAATCATAAATTTTATGTTGTGCAAATTTCACCACACATGCACTCACAAACTAAACTGTAAACATTGAAGGCAGAAGAAACACTCCTGCATTCACTCAGCAAACATGACATGCCTGCCCTGAGTTGAACAAGGCCAACAGGGTCCCGTGCCTCACAGACTCATGGCCGTGGGAGCCTCAGTCTCTTTTGTGGACTGATGCCACAGACATCCGCCTGGCTTAATGTGCCTGCGACCTCCAGGTGTGGTTGTGGGGAGAACTTCAAATAACAAAGAGACCAGAACTTCCTATGGCATTCAAGACCTGCCCTGACGTCTTCTGATTTTGAAGGGCAAAGGCAGGTTGAGTCCGGCCAGCTTTCTGAAGCCCACCCCCAGCGCTGAGGTGGGCAAGCAGGTGTCCACAAGCGTGTCTGCATCCCAGGAGAATGCAGGAGGCCCAGGGACATTAGCGAAGCACGTAGCCCCTTGTCATCCCGGCTCTCAAATGAAGCCATTTTGGGGACCCAGCTGCAGGTGTCCTCTGAAACCAAAATAACCCAATTCCTACCAAGACCCAATGTCCCTTCTGAAGCAGGGAGAAGCAGTCCCTGTCACTCCCATCACTGACTTTGTTCCAGGGTAACATAGAAAAAAAAAATTATTTTGGTCTTTTTCTCTTTTGTGTGGCTTAGAGAAAAAATGCAGGCCAAACAACCCGGTCCGCCTTCCAGTTCACTTCTCTCTGTGGCTGTGACAGCAAAGGAAACGTGGTATTAAGTTGTTGGGGTTGAAATCCCAAACCCTCAATTTCAGGAGCAGAAGGAAGGAGCCGGCCTCCTCCCAGCTGCAAGGGGAGCCCTGGATGCTCCCCCACCCCTGCAACTACAAAGTTCCCCCTGAGCTGGGGCCCCCCAGAGATACTCATACTGGGGAAAAAGAAGACTGACTGTTGCAAAATAAGTAGAGATGTTTATTCATTCACTCAACAGTCGTTTTTTAGCACCTACTATGTGCCAGGGGTACAGCGGCGAGCACGACGAACACACACCTGCCCTCACTCACGGAGAAGCCATGCTCAGTGGAGAGGCAGGCGTTCCAGAAATCACCCAGACAGATGCTGGTGACAAGTGGAGAGACGCTCCCTGCAGGGGAACAGGAGGGGCTCAGAGATCCTGAGGTTGAGGGGAGACCTGATCTAGGATTGGGAGGCAGAAGATGTGTGGCGGAGGGAGTGACATTTCATCTAACACCTGAGGGTTGGGCAGGAGTGAGCTCTGTGGATGGGGGAGGGGCAGGGCTTTGGGGCAGGAGGCCATGTTTGCAAAGGGCTTGTGAGGGCAAGGGTCTGCAGTGTTGGAGGAATTGAGAAGGGTCCACGTGGCCTGTGTATAGTGAGAAGAGAGGAGGCACTAGGAGGGCGTTGCCCATGGGCAATGGACAGCCATCGGGGGTTCTAAATGTGGATGAGAGGGGGTAACGTGACCAGATTGGTTGAGGGTCTCAGAGTAGAAGCAGGGAGCGAGGGCTGCCAGTTCAGGGGTTCGATCTGCGCCAGTGGAATCAGCACACAAGAAGATTCTGCAGTCCCTCTCCTGGATGCAGTCTCCACCTGTTCCCATCGTTTGAGGTGGCCAAAGTGACACGATATATGGTTAACTGCTGTTGCTTCTCACATGGGGTGGCACAGCCAAGGGAGAGTATACGGGGTGTGTCGGGCCTCTGTGGAAACCATGGATGGACAGGGGACGATAGCTGTGAAGAGCTTCACTTTTGTTACTGGCTCACGGTGGCTGGGCCCCGTGCTCAGCGCCTTCCACACGTCATCTCATGCGATGCTCCCATCATCGCTCTGGGGTGGAAAGTATGACCAACCTCATTTTCCCCAGGAGGACACTGAAGCTTAGAGTTAACGCTGAGGCTCGGCAGTATCGAGAGATGTCCCTGAGGTCCAGGCTCTTGGGGGAGGTGGCCCAGGACTGGCCGCCCGTAGCCGCCCACACTCTGCACCACTGCGTTCTGCTGCAGGCACGGCCATCGCTGCCAGGCGGGAACTTGAAATTAACCAGCCTCCCTGAAGTCACAGAATTTGCGTGACTCCCCTCAGAAATAGAGCTAACTACTTGTGAACTGGTAAATTCAGGGCCTTGGGGGTTAGTTTAGAGAGGCCGGGGTGGGGACCCAGGCATTGTAGTTTTGTGAGCTTGGGTCTATCTGTCTCTTTAGAGAGGAGATACATATAACATGAAGTTAACCACTTTAATTCGTTCAGTGGCATTTATTTAGCTGATTCACAATGTTTGCCACTGTCACCACTATCTAATTCCAGAATGTTTTCATCACCCCAAAAGGAGGTTTGGTACCCATTAAATAGTAACCCCCCTAGGCCCTGACAACCACTGATCTACTTTCTGTCTCTATAGATTTACCTGTTATGGACATTTCATATAAATGAAATTGTACAATATATATGGTCTTTGGTGACCAGCCTCTTTCACTTAGCATAATGTTTTCTTGGTTCGTCCGTGTTATAATATGCATCAGGACTTCATTTCTTTTAATGGCTGAATATTCCGTTGGTTTTTAATATCTCTGTGTCTTGGTTTTAGATCAGATTCCTTTAGCTCTAAAATAAAACCAAAGAAGGAAGGAAGGAAGGAAGGAAGGAGGGAGGGTGGAAGCAAGGAAGGAAGGAAGGAAGGAAGGAAGGCAGGACGGAAGGAAGGGACGAAGGAAAGAAGCA